TCAAAGTACATCAGACCAAGTCTCTGCCCACTTGGGGCTTCCATTCTAGTGGAGGCGGAAACAAGTAAACCACAGATTAATGTGACGACATCAGAGACCAAGGGATGCCCTGCAGGCGCGAAGCGCGGATGGGGTGGGTGGTGGGTTCCTTCAGCAAGGGAGCTCAAGGAGGCCGGCCTGGGGCTGAATGCCAGCAACGTCCTTGGGGGAAGATCGGGGAAGCATGACCAGGTAGAAAGAGGGGCGTGTTGACAGGTGAGAGGAAGAGGGAGGGGTGAGCTCTGGTCTATGGTAGACTCTGGACTTTTTGACTGTGTTGAGGCTCTCTTTGGATAGCTTTATGCAGGTAAATGGCACAATTAAATTTTTATTTAAAAAAAAAATCACTTGTTTTCCAGATGTGAGAAAACACAGGGGTTTTTTTTCCCCCCTCCTGTGCATAATAGAATTAGAATAAAAACCCTAATTCTATTAGCCAGTTGTATCTACTTCATTCATCTTTCCTCCCTCCCTCTCTTCTGTTCTTGCTTCTTCTGCAACATGTTAAGAGTTTGAGCTTTGGGATCAGGCAAATATGAGTTCAAATCCTGACTCTACCACTTATGAGCTGGATGACATTAGAAAAGTGACTTGACTTCCCAGAGCCTCCGTTTCCCCACCTGTAAAATGGGAGAAATGACAGCATCTAACCTGTAGATTTGTCATAACAACTAAATCAAATGCTTCTGGTCACACATAGCACTTACCATAACACTTGGCATGTGGGCAGCCCCCATAAATACTAGGCATTGTTTTTACAGCTCTATCAAGTGAGAAGTTTAGCTTTGGCACATGGGAAAAAAAATAATAACAATCCCACCTCAGGAGTTCTCAATATGGCAATACAAACTCTGTGTGCTTTTTAAATAAATAATTAGAACTCTGATGAAGCAGCTTACTTTGACTAAGAATAGTTGGTACTTTAAAATGATAAACATTCTTGAAACTTCTCTGGCCCAGATTCTTATATTTCTGAGGTTAAATTAACTCATATCATTTTCATTTTTAAAAGTCTTTCCAGCGCACTCAAGTTTGTAGGTTAAAGCATCAGAATAATTCCTTGTTTTCTGAGCAATATTTAGGAATGTAAACTAGTAATTCTAGTAGCGACATAAATATTACAAAACAACTGATGTTTACTGAATATCCACCATATACCATCTGTTGTGTTAAGCATCTTATCGGAATATATGTCATTGAATCCTTACAATCACCCTTTGAGAAAGGCACTGTTATTTTCTGGCTCGTTTTATAATTAAATTGAGGCACAAAGATATGGAGTCGCTTGACGAGGTCACATATTTAATGAATGAGTTAAGAGTTAAACTCTTCTGATCCACAATCTAAGTTCTTTAACAATTACACGGAGCTGCCCCTGAAAATAAGTTCTCAGCCTCATGTCTAGATAAAATCACTTTCTTCACAAAGAAAACCACACACACAATACAAAATATCTTTCCTGAACTAAAGAGATCAAAATGTTCAACTCTCCTAACTACTTGGGAGCTGCCATTTGCATTTACTTGATTCCTTTTATCTTCCTTAAACCCTTACACATTTTTTTTTTCGTGGAAAGTAAAGCTCTTTGGTATGTCATCTGTTTGTCTGCTTTATGAGAAACCCTTTTATTGAAACCAGACTCAGGATGGGCTTCTCCCAAGCTTTTTCATAGGAGCTGAAAGCTTGTTTCCGGTCCTCTAGAAAGAACATTTTCTTCTTTCCAGAATAACATAAGGAAGGCGGGTCAACTCTCCCCCTTTGCAAGAGTATAAAACCTGTAATTCCAATGTGTTTTCTGCCTGCTTACTCGCACAGGTTGGATTTGTCTGTGTGTGTGCGTAAAAGTGTATGTTTTAGGATGTGTTTGTTTATCATGTTTAAGGTCTCAAATGACTGTAATCGCTTTTCCCCAAGTGGGTTTTTCCTTCACTTTTATGGAGAAGACAAAGGCTTGGTGGGTGTCTCTCATGCCTCTCCAGGGCCTTGGGGCTCCCTGCCTGCCATTTCACTCTCTTTTCCTCCTTCATCCAAGACTAAGGTGCAGACTTGAGGTGCCTAGTGACAACTTCTCAAGGACAGGAATGATCGCTACTAATTGACACATGAAATAGATGCCCTGAAATCCTCTCCAAGTCACTGAGTGTGTACATAATTTAAACAGGCATACATGAGGCAGGAAAAAAAAATTGTTGGCCCTATAATGGTAAAGTCCATCAGCTTCAGGCAAATCTGGATCCAGGTGTCCAAGTGCTATAATTGAGCATATGCTCCTAGATCCTCTGGCTCTGCTTTTGTCTGGGTTGGTTCTCAGGCAAGCATTCCCAAATGGGATGGCCAAGGCCACCAGCTCCAGGCGTACCCCCTGCTAGTTTGCCACCCCAAGCACAAAGAGCAAAACTCTGTCCTAAGAGGTTCAGCAAAAGTCATAGGGTTTCTTGTTATTAGTCTTGCTTAGGCCATGAGCCCACCTGGGAGGTGAGCATTTTTCAAGGGAAACAGAAACTCCAGGTGAGGGACCTGGGTAGGCGTTCACCCACACGGGGGCGTGGGACAGAGCTTCTGTGTCATGGAACGTCCCATCTAAGGAGTCCTAGGTCTCACAAGTTATCAAAAACACTTTACCCACTCTGATGTCAAGAGCTATGATTTGCATCTGTTGTAATCTCAAAATGCATCAAAGACTTATCTAGATACTGGGATATAATAAATTTATCCTTTATCAGAGGAATATATTGGCACATTTTTAAAAATCTGTGCCTGGGGAGATTTTTTTCCAGAGATGTTTTCTGTGGCTACAACACTCCCATGCACCCTGTTCCTTTGGTTTCTAGCCAGAGAGTAAGGAAGAGAGAAAAAACACAGAAAGAGACCCGTTGATGCTCTCGGCAGTTTGCAAAGCCCTTCCTTGTTTTGAATCTTAGTCTCTTCATTTCTGTCAACTGTTTCCTCTTCCTCTGGCATAGGCCATGCCCACAGTTCATTTGTATTCACTCGGACACTTCGCCCACTGACTTCTGACACATTCAGACGCCCTGACGCGTTCATCTATCACTCCCTCCGGCACTCTCTCCCCCTTCCCGTCCTCTGGGAAATAATATTTACCGTGATTATGAATCCCTGGACTGCAGAATAAAGGCAAAGAAGACCTAGAAGATACAGTCAGGGTTCCTGCAGGGTGGTTTCCTTGGGGCCTGAGTTTACGAGGAAGGCCTGGTGCTCCAGGTCTGTTTCTTCCCTGCTCCTCAGTGTTTAATGGGGAGACTGCCGTTCTGCACCAGAATCCAGCACACGCGTGCTCTCGCGCTCTCTCTCTCTCTCTCTCTGCCCCCCGACCCCCCACCGTCTCTCCATGTTCATTTATTCCCGACTCTAGACACTGGGAGATACTAGAGTTTGACAAAAACAAGTGCTAATGGATGAATGTGCATATACATGTATTTTTCACTGCATCCTAACGAACAATATGGGCAGACCCAAAGAAACCTCAGTTCCTCCCTTTCTCTTTCTCCCTGTCTTCCCACGGACAGATATTATGAAGTAGCTGCAAAGGTATAAAGCCGAATGCAATATTGGCACAGGCATGGGAGAAACCTTGAAAATAATCATGGCATCTGTCCACCCTTAAGGCCTACGACGGGAAAGGCAGTGCGCCAGGCCCTTGGCAAGGGCCTGCTCCTTTCCGCGTCGCAACAGCCCTATGGGAGCAATAGGAGCAAGGGAGCTCCTATTATTCCCATTTTACTTATGAGGAAATTCAGAAAATGTTTAGTGACCCGGCCAAGGTCATACACTTATCAGTAGAAAAACCTTGATCTTTAACTGTGGTTCCAAAATGGGGGGCACATCTATTTTTCCTAAATGTGGCTCTGCTTTATAAAAGGGGCCCAGAGCAGAAGGCAGTGGAATTAGGTGGATGCAGAGGTCAAGACTAAACGGGCGGGGGCCAGAAACGAGGTCCCCTCACGGAAGACACGGTCTCGGACAGCCAAGCGTCCATCTCTGATTCCACGCGGGCCCGGGGTCTAATTGGCCTTCTTGTGTGTCCATCTGCCCTTCTAGCCTTCACAATAGAAACTACCAGAGTCTTTCTTCTTAAAATCTTTCAGAAGTCATAACAGAGTTCTAACTGTAACCGGACTCTGCTGCGTCCCAGCTTCCGGGGCAGTTAACAGGACCAGCCCAGCCTCGCTGGCTGTCCACTTTCTCACTCATGAGTAATGACAATAGCTAGTGTCTGGGACGTTCACTGAACACTGGCTGTACTCCAGGCCCCGCCCTATGTGCCCTAAGAATATTAACTCGTGTAATCTTCCTAACAAAATGCCTCACTTCACCAGACAACTGAAGCTCAGAAAAGCTAAGTAACTTGGATTCAAATAGACGTTCCAACTCAGTGGTTCTCAAATGTGAGTCATTTTTTTCCTCCCTGGGGACATTTGACAATGGTGACATTTTTGGTTGTCACAGTTTGGGGATGCTGCTGGCATCTGGTGGGTTGAGGCCAGGGATGCTGCTAAATACCCTGCAGTGCACAAGGTAGGCCCCCTAGCAGAGAGGGATCCCACCCAAATGCCAGGGGTCCCGAGGCAGAGAAACCTTGTTCCAATGCAGACCCCAAGCTCCTAAGTGCTACTGCCTCTCAGTTGAACTCATGACAATTGGCTTCTGATGGGATTCCTGTAAAGATACAAGATAATTAATATGAATGTCACGCGTACAGCACCTGGCATGTAGTTTCCAGTAATTGGCCTTCCTCCTCAGTAACCTTCTGTTCCCCTCTCCCAAGAAAAGTAGGGTCTGAAGACATCTAAAGAACCACCTTCTGCTCTGCAGGGTGACCGAAGAACAAGAGAGTCCCAGTTTGCATGGTGGCCTTTGTGTAGGAAGCATTTGCAGTCCATTATCCATCCTCGAGTTTCCTCGCATGGCTGAATAACCGCTGTTGATGTTTGTGTTTACAGTCGATTTGGGGATAAGTGTCAAGGAAGACAATGTGGCCACTTCTTCCCCCAAGACAGCGGAGAGCAGAGCTGTCGCGGGTGCCAATGGAAAGAATCTTGGGAAAGACGCCAAAGCTGAGGCCCCAGCTGTTAAATCGCGTTTTTTCTTGACACTCTCTCGGCCTGTACCAGGACGTACCGAAGACCAAGCTGCAGATCCATCCACTGCTCCAGGGAAGCTTGACGTCAGCTCCAGCGAGGCCATGGGGAACAAAGAACCGAGTGACAGAATGGCCCTTCCGCTGGCAGCTGCACAGGGCCCCGACCCAGATAAAACCCCCGGCCAGACCCCCGCCCAACACGCAGGCTTCTCTGCCGCTTGGGGACCAGCGCCTCTGCCACCTGAGTCGGGGGGAGCAGCCCCCGCCAAGCCTAAGGACTCCAGCTTTTTTGACAAATTCTTCAAACTGGACAAGGGACAGGAAAAAGTGCCCGCTGACAACCAACAGGAAGCCAAGCGTGGGGAGCACCAGGACCCAGCCGACCACATTCCTGGATACCCTGGCCAGTCCCACCATGTCCCTGCAGAGAGGGTAAGTGCTGACAAGGGGCAAACCGTGTCATCCTTGATGCAAGCTCAGGGGGCCCTGCTGGGGTAAGACGATGGCACGTAGGTTGCCCTATAGTCACATCGTAGCGTCTGCCGCCGCGTGTTTCGGTGGGCAGAAACATCTGTTTGCAGAACAATCACAGCTGCGGCATCTGTTTCATGTAAAAGACAAGAGGAGGTGAGTTACATACAGATGAATCCGTCCTTCCATTTATCAAAGGGGAAGCTAGACAGGTCGCGTCTATGATCAGTGGAGCGGGGAGGGAAAGGCATTAGCAGAATAAAAATCGCTCCTAAAAAACGGACCCATCCTGCCCAGTCTCAGCAGCTTGTCTTACATACAGTGCGTTTAAAGGTTTCCCTTGAAACACATTTCATTTCTTACTTTTAATAGCCTGGATTGATCTTTAACTATCTTTTGCAGTAAAGGGAGGGTTTAAATAAAGAATTTTTACAGCTCTGGGCAGACTCTTTTATGTACTAATGATTTCCCAACAACCTGGAGTAATACCTTTGAAAAACTGGATTTTTTTTTGGCGGGGGGGGAGATCCAGAATTAGTTTCTTCTTGACACTCTCTCAGCCTGTACAAAGAAAGGCAAGTTCTTTTGATCTTAAAAAGAACATTTGCTTTTACCCATGAAAAGATTTGTTTGTGTTCAGGGCTGAGACAGGAGCTTCTTGAATGAAGAAGGAAATAAAAATTAATACATTTTATTTTAAGGTACTTATTTCCTGAGTTAATGGACTTTTAAATAATAGTCCTTTTCAAACCTTGGGATAAAATCAAGTGCATCTAGTTGAGGTTAGAACCAGGAAAAAAAATTAGTTGGGCTGAGTTTTTTATTATGTGGTCCTGTGTCATGACCAACCATGTATTTGTCTTAATAAGAGCTAACTGCACCGCCAAGTTGCTAATCAACACTGGCTGCCAATTACTGAGACCTTACAACATGCCAGGCTCTGGTCTAAAGACTGTGCATGTGTACTTTTTCCTTAAGGAAAATGATTGTCATGTTACTCTGTAGTTTTAATGCATCTAGGATGGTGTCAATATATTGAATATGTTAGACGCCAGCTGAAAATCCTGAAGTTACAACTGGGAAAAGATCATTAGGCTCCTGTGGTCAGGTTCTCACCATCAGCATTCTTGCTGTTCTCTCATAAACTGTTCTTGTAAAATTTGACTCCAAGAAAGTTGGTATTTCAAATTTCCCTTCGAAATTTTTAAAAATTGCCCTTCAAATGCCCACTTCCCCAAATGTACCAACTCACGAGCCCATTGAATCGCTTTCTGTGTAATTCGAAGTAAGTCTTTCAATGCATCCAAGCATCCAGCCTTTGCTGAGCCCTGACTGCTGCGGCTCAATAGGTTGGAGCATTGCTGACCTATTTCATAAACCAAGAAGTTGCGGGTTTGATTCTGGTCAGAGCACATACCTCGGTTGCAAGTTTGATCCCCCGTTTGGGGCGTGTATAGGAGGCAAACAATTGATGTCTCTCTCTCTCTCTTCCTCTGTCTTTAAAGTCAATAAACACATAAACACATACTGGTGTGGATTGGAAAACGGAAGCATGACACAGCTGGGTCAGGCAGAGGGGAGACCAGGCCGCAGTGGGGGGCAGGACAGAGTGCCCATGTCCTCAGCGAGTGTGTGCAGAGCAGCAGAGAAGAGGTAATAAAAAACCCACGATTATTATGCAAGGTGCCAAGTGTTCTATGGAGGAGGCCACATGCCAGAGAGGCTGCCTGGACCGCAGAGAACTGGCCTCGCTGGTCCAGGGAACACCCCATCACAATGTAAACCTATAGCAGAAAGTTCCTTGCTTGGGGGATATAAACTGGTCTTCAATGTTCATGAATATCTGAGAAACTAGGGACTACTTTCCGCTGAGTGGGGAGACTCTGACTCAGTTCTCATTATTGGTCATGAGCTCCCTGGCCACTCTGAGGCTGAGCCTTAGTGAACAGTCACGTTTTGTGTATAGGCATCTGAAGTCAACCCATTGCCTGACGTAGGAAAAGACTGAGTTATTTGTGGGAAGGCCTATCTTTGGACAGGGGTCTAGTGACTCATCCAAATCCCCCTCTTAGTTAAATAAACGGCTTTAGTGTGTGATAACCACGCCTCGCGCACACGCAACTTCACCATAAAACCCCAACACACTCCATCCATTCCTAGCTTCAGGAAAAGTGCAAAGAAATTTTAGGGTTGTGCTTTATCAACTCAGCTTTTTTTTTTTAATTGAAGACTCTTAGGGAGAGCACCTCCATTTGAGTGAAATGAGTTTCAAAATGAGATTGGGGTCAGAAGACAGGAGTTTCTGCTGCGAGCAGGACTGGTATCTAAAATAGCCAAGCCCATGGGCGAGGTTTTAAAGATAGAGTAATGTCTGAGAAGACCCCAAAACTGTAACTTGTCTTCCTTTCTGAGGGAGTTAGCTCCCTTAGATTCACTAACAAATTTGCATCTGTCTTTGTTACGCTACCAATTTCCACTATTTATTGGTCGTATCGCTGGAATATGAAATACTGAGTGCATAGAAAACATAGACACGTTATGAAACAGCCATTCATTTTTTTTCCCTTCAGTCTATGAACTTGTGCATATGCAAATACACACGTCTGCAAAGATCTCTCTCACACACACCCCACCCCCCAGCCTTCTGATTGCTAAGGTTTCTCATCTGATTTCTGGCTGCATAGTTGTGTATCTGGAGCAAACAACAAAAAAATCAATTGTTCTTAAGTGTAATGAGAGAATCCAGCCCTGAGAAAGTAACAAGAATGAAACTCCTCAATCAATGCCTTCTTGGTGGGAGTAGCCTATTATGCATAAATGGCCATCAGTGTATTGATTCTGAGTCCTTGGAGTAGATTATGCCCAGGGCTCAGCCATGTCAGCTGTCTCCCCCGCTACACACACACACACAAGCCTTGCCCCCAGCCCCTCACTGGGTTGGAATTCCAACCACAAACCCACAGAGCTGTGAATTGGGAAAAAGATGCCACCATTTCATTCTGCAGAGGGCCGGGCGGGGGGAGGGGGGGTGGGCACAGAAATCTTCTGTGTTTTCAGAATGACAGTCTGATTTTTGTGCCATATAAAACTACATTCAGGGCATAGCATAATTAAAACAAGGCCAGAATTCATGAACAAATGAAGCATTTACTACGTAGGCCAAAGAAAAGATAAATTATATGCCTGAAAGTTTTCACTGAGCTGTGATTCACACAGACCAATGTGTTGGCAAGGATAAGATTTTAATTTTTCTCTCCTCTCAACAACTGAAGCAGAGCTATAAGATATGCATTGAAGATTCATCACACACACACACACAAAAATGAAAATTTGACCTTTACTGGTTAAACACACACACACACACACACAAACTCTCTCTAAATTTCTGTGGTCGGCCTGACTTCCAGAAGTGCCCCTGCTTTGGGGGCAGGAGGAAGTACCTCAAGTGTGTTGCCAAGCACTGATTCATGAGATTTAAACAGGAATATTGCCTTCCTTTTCAAAGTTTAATTAAATTCTGCAATTGTTATTTAAACACCAACCTCATGCAAGGCATTTAGAAGATAAATCATCGTCCTAGTCCTTCAAAGATCATACAATTTAGGAAGAGGCATCACTTCTTACAGGAAGATGGTGATAAGTGCATTGATCCGCAAATCCATTCCGACTACAGATACAAAGAAAAATACTCAGTGGTTTTGCTTCCTCCTCTTATTTTCTGTCTTAAACACATTTCTTTCAGGCTTTTGTCCCCCATGGAAAAAAATGCCCTTGTCAAAGTCACCGCCATGTTGCTCCTTCCCCCACCCCTCATCCCAGCTGCCAAGTCAGATATGCCTTCGTACCTACCCTTCTGGACCTGCCAGTCACGTCTGACATGGTGGGGACCCCTTCCTTCTCGAAACAGACTCCTCACTTGGTTCCTAGGTCTTCCCACCCAACCGGCTACTGTTCCTTTATCTTCTTTGCTGGACCTTACCCTCTAAACCAGGGGTGTCTAGCCTTTGGCCTATGGGCTGCATGTGGCCCAGGATGGCTGTGAATGCGGCCCAATACAAAATCGTAAATTTACTTAAAACATTATGAGACTTTTTTTTGTGATGACATGTCACAATGAATTTAATGTGTGGCCCAAGATGATTCGTCTTCCCATGTGGCCCAGAGACGCCAAAACTTCGGTCACCCCTGCTTGGCTTTCCCCAGGGTTCAGCTCTTAGCTGTCCTCTCTAACAACCCTTACTTCCTTGCTTGGAAATCTTCCCCAGGCCCAAGAGTTTAAATATAAGTATCTGCTGACAACTCCTTAATTTATCTCCAGCCTAGACATACCCCTGAAGCCCAAACTTAAATATCCAGCTGCCTCTTCCATGTGTCTACCTGAATCTCTTCATCTCCATTTGAAGGCTCACTGAGCATTTCAAGCTCCATGTGTCCAAAGCCACAACCACCACAACCAAGTGCCTCTGCATTTAATGCATAGCCTTCCTCATGTCACTGAAAGGCAACTCCATCCTGCTACTGCTTTGTAGTCTTGGAATTAAAGAGTCAAGACCTTTGATAGAGTAGTCAATGAAAACAGAAGCAATGCAGTCAAGAGCCTAGGTTTCCACTCTGCCTCTGTCACCTACTGGCTGTGTGACTGTGGACAAGTTACTTAACCTCTCTGAGCCTCTACTTCCTCATCTGTAAAATGGGGATAATAAGAGGATCGAGCACATTCTCACATAGTCGCACTTGTGAAAAATAAATAAGTCAATTACTTCACATGAAGATACCACATTTTGAGAAAAAGAAAATTTAGCTCTCATTAGCATATTGGTTTTTCTCCCCATCCGTTACTCTACATTTTACCCTTTTTATTCTTCCTTTCCATCGTTCTCAACCAAAAGTTGTAGAGGCGGCATAACTGAACCTAATTTGAAAGCTATTGTACATAACCAAAGACGTAAATCCTAATTTGG